ACTATAAACAAAAAAAGTCAACAATCTTGAAGAAAAAAAACAATATTTTTGACTTTTTGCTACAAAACATGTCTAGTAAAAAAAATTTAAACATCTAATTTCTTCATAAATGTAGGGCAAAATGTATTCTGCTACATGTCTTTGCTAAAAGAAAAAAAAAAAAATCCCAATACGCGTAGATGAATTGGTTTTTGTGAAAGTTACAGCGTCTACAAATGGCGGTATATATACTGGAATTTTATTATATATATAGATATATATACTAGTAATGGCGGCAATCAGCGACTTATAGCGGGACTGTGACGGGTATTCTGTCACTGGCGGGAACTGACTAACTGCCACTAACATCCCTATGACACTAATACAGTGGTCAGTGCAAATAAAAAGCACTGACACCTTACTAATGACACTGGGCAGGAAGGGGTTAACGCCTGGGGCGATCAAAGGGTTAACTGTGTGCTTTTTCACACTATGTACTGAGCACTGTTTTACTGTGTAAGCATGCTGCTTTGTAGTATAGCAATACAAAGCAGCATGCAGGTGCTGACGGGAGAGATCTGTATTGTTTACATACAGACCACTCCCCTGTCACTGTTCCTGGGCGATCATCAGGTGCAAGCGGGGAATCTTTGGGCCGGACCCGGTGTTTGACAGCTGTAGCTGCCAGTGGCGTCGTGGGCAGGGCAGCGCACACATCCCCTACCCAGAAATGCAAAATCACGTATACAGTGAGGAACAGAAGTATTTGAACACCCTGCGATTGTGCAAGTTCTCCCACTTAGAAATCATGGAGGGGTCTGAAATTCACATTGTAGGTGCATTCCCACTCTAAAAGACAGAATTAAAAAAAAAAATTCAGGAAATCACATTGTATGATTTTTAAAGAATTTATTTGTCTTGAAACACTTCTACGCCCCTTACGCAATGGTTGCTAACCCAACACAAACCATGTCCTCCTTTGAACGAACTTGTAGTAAAGACCCTCACAATGGCCTCATTTCATACCTGTACTCTCTCCTTACAACCCCGTCCGAAGGTTCCCTACCTTCTTACGCATGGAAATGGGATTTGGACCTGGGCCACGAAATTGATCCCTCGGATTGGGACCGTATTTGGTCTACTACCAAGGGGTCGTCGCAGAATATTGTGGCTTTGGAGACCAACTACAAAGTCTTAACCCTTTGGTACTTAGTACCAGCGAGAATAGCTAAATGTACCCCTAACTATTCTTCAGCATGCTTCAGAGGTTGCGTAGACCCGGGCACTTTCTTCCATACATGGTGGGAGTGCCCAACCGTCAGGATCTTCTGGACGGAAATATTCAAAATGCTCTCCTTATTAAGTACAAAAAACCTCCATCCTAACCCGCTAACAGCGTTACTTAACCTACGACTACCCGAAGTCACAAAACTACAATTTAAGCTTCTATTACAGGTAACTACAGCTGCCAAACAGGTCATTGCCAAATCGTGGAAGTCTACATCGCTTAACATTACCGCGGTCCGAAACAAAGTAACCCAGGCGATGATCCATGCTAAAGTAGAAGCCACAATCTTGAATACTATCCCCAAATTTAGGATGATTTGGGACCCATGGGTAGAACATTTTCTACCTTCTAACTTTGATGAAACTCTTCTCACCCCGTAACCAGCACTCCTAACTATTCTGGTACCCTCCCCTTTACTCTTACAGCTCCCCTCTCTTTCCTTTTTCTCTTCACTTGCGGAGTCGCATACCTTTCCCCTGTCATCTCCCACCTTCACATTCCCCGCCTAATATTGTTCACCAGTTCTTACCTGTTACCGTTCTGAGGTTTACGGTTAATACTGCATTCCCAAGAAAATTCACTGTATAAGTATTGTATATTGTATACTTTATTTGTTTTATCTATGTTACCCCCCCCCCCCCCCCCCCCCCCTACGAACAAAATAAAAAATTTGAACATGAAGAATTTATTTGTCTTGCACTGCTGAACATAAGTATTTGAACACCTAAGAAACAGCAAGAATTCTGGCTCTCAAAGACCTGTTACTGTGCCTTTAACAAGTCCATCTCTACTCCACTCATTAATCTAACTTAGTAGCACCTGTCTGAGCTCTTTAAAGACACCTCCTCTCCACCCACAGTCAGTCAGACACCAACTACTACCATGGGCAAGACTAAAGAGCTGTCAAAAGACACCAGAGACAAAATTGTGGAGCTCCACAAGGCTGGAAAGGGCTACAGGGCAATTGCCAAGCAGCTTGGTGAAAATAGATCAACTGTTGGAGCAATTGTTAGAAAATGGAAGAGGCTAAAGACGACTGTCAGTCTCCCTCAGACTGGGTCTCCATGCAAGATCTCACCTCGTGGGGTATCACTGATGATAAGAAAGGTGAGGAATCAACCCAGAACTACAAGGGAGGAGCTGGTCAATGACATGAAGAGAGCTGGGACCACAGTTTCAAAGGTCACTGTCGGTAGAACACTACGCCGTCATGGTTTCAAATCATGCATTGCATGGAAGGTTCTCCTGCTCAAGTCATCACATGTCCAGGCCCGTCTGAAGTTTGCCAATGACCATCTGGATGATCCAGAGGAGGCATGAGAGAAAGTCATGTGGTTAGATGAGACCAAAGTAGAACTTTTTGGTCTAAACTTCACTCGTCGTGTTTGGAGGAAAAAGAAGGATGAGTTGCATCCCAAGAACACCATCCCTACTGTGAAGCATGGGGGTGGTAACATCATGCTTTGGGGGTGCTTTTCTGCGAAGGGACAGGATGACTGCACTGTAGTAAGGAGAGGATAAATGGGGCCATTTATTGTGAGATTTTGAGCAACAACCTCCTTCCCTCAGGCAGAGCATTGAAGATGGGTCGTGGCTGGGTCTTCCAACATGACAACAACCCGAAGCACACAGCCAGGATAACCAAGGAGTGGCTCCGTAAGAAGCATATCAAGGTTCTGGAGTGGCCTAGCCAGTCTCCAGACCTAAATCCAATAGAACATCTTTGGAGGGAGCTGAAACTCCGTGTTGCTCAGCGACAGCCCCGAAACCTGACAGATCTAGAGGAGATCTGTGTGGAGGAGTGGGCCAAAATCCCTGTTGCAGTGTGTGCAAACCTGGTCAAGAACTACAGGAAATGTTTGACCTCTGTAATTGCAAACAAAGGCTTCTGTACCAAATATTAACATTGATTTTCTCAGTTGTGCAAATACTTATGTTCAGCAGTGCAAGACAAATACATTTTTTAAAAATCATACAATGTGATTCTCTGAAATTTTTTTAAAATTCTGTCTCAGAGTGGGAATGCACCTACAATGTGAATTTCAGACCCCTCCATGATCTCTAAGTAGGTGAACTTGCAAAATCGCAGGGTGTTCAAATTCTTCTGTTCCTCACTGTATATACATGATTTTGCGCAGCCCTGCCACCTTGTAGCAGTAGTTCTGCTATAGGTCGGTCGGGAAGTGGTTAACCAGTGCTCAACTGGACCCTGATTGAAGTCACAAGACTGCTATATACTACTGATGAGAAAAGGTGTTTAGTTTATATTTACTAAAATAATTGCATTTCCATGTTCTGTGTACTGTGGGAGACCAGATAGAGTGAATGCAGAGTTTAAAAACACTTTGTTTTCAGGATAATTTGGGAATTTATAATTTATTAGTAAATATGAAGTGGTGATATCGCTGTGTATAAAAACAATTCACATATGTAATTCAAGTAACATGGTAAGGGTCATTGATGAGCAGTAGCAGTCACAAACACACGTAGGCTACATGTACACTAAGCAACCCATGTCCGCTGGACACGGGAAAATGAAAAACGCGGCAAAAACACGTGTAACTGCAGTACTGCATTTGTGAGCGTTTTCCTGCAGCCGGCAGTCAAAACATTCCTATCCCGAAAGCAATTCTTCTGTGTTCAAGAGAGGGAGGTTTAACCTCACCTAAATGTGGCAGCTCCTAAACTGTTAAAATCCTGTGTGTACATGAACACATAGGCTTTTATGGAGTCGAGTTTAGGAGCTTTGGCAAAAAAAATCGCCAATAGCTCCTAAAATTCAAGTTTAGGCGCTGTCAGTGTGCATGAAGCAATAGGGAGGAGTTCAGATAATGTACACATGTAAACACATCATTTTGTTAATAATATTAGGTTGTGACATAGAGCGGGTTTATATATACATACCTATTTGTTTCCATCCAGACTGATGTGAACGATTTTGATTAGACTGATCAGTTTTGTTAAAAATCAATCAATAACCGTATGAGTCATTTCAGTGATTCATAGATCTGATTAATGTGGGATCCAAGCAAATCGGCATAGCTTTCCTTCCCATCAGTTTAGAGCGATCAATCTAAATAGATTGGCCAGGGTAGATATTATCGATCATGTTGCATTGATCGGTAGCATTGAGATTTTTTGTTCATGAATCAGATCACATTTCGACTGAACAGATTATGAGACTACATGGTGAAAACAGAGATGTGATTGAAATATGACCATGGTATCTTCACACTATCAATCTGAATTTACTTTCCAGTGTGTTCGTTATCTTTTAGAAGATATCAATCTGGACATAAATCAAAAATTTATTGAAGTGTGTGTTGCTACCAAAAGGATGATTTCAGGTGTACTCTGGTCCTAGACCAAACCCATGTGAGCAATCCCATTAGGAAGCTGTCACTGTATTGAAGAAATCGTATTGCTGGGGTAGTCCCTGCAGCTACACATTTACAAGGGGTGAGGAATACCTGAGCCGCCCAAGAATGGCCCAATACAGGGGCAGCTTCCTGGTGGGCTCGACCAAATGATCATATCCACATGTGTGTCAGAGAACCAATCATAGTTCATATCAATTAAAATATTGTTTTTTTTTGTAATACATCATATACATCCTATTTCCTATATTTGAGCAATCGATTTTTCAGTCCATCACGAGATTCAGAACATTGCAGTGTGTGCATCATTCTATGGTTTAATGGAGGATATATCACTTATTTGTGATTGTTGTTTAACCTTCCTGACGGTATTCCCGAGTGTAGCTCGGGGTAAAGTTTCAGTACCACAAGCGGTAACCCCGAGCTACACCGGGAATACCATGCGGCGCTGCTCCGGGATCTGTTCTTCTCTTACCTTGTCCTGCGCTCCCGCGATGTCCCTCCTGCAGCGTCCCCTGCAATGTAATCCGGCGGATGCCGGCACCTGTCATCTGGGTTCCATCCCCTGCGACGTCGGGACGGAACGGCGGGAAATTTGAAAATGACAAAATGTGACAATCACTAAAATCACATAGTAAAACATTACTGTATCAAAGCATTTCACATACATTTTGTCCTGTGCCCTGCTTGCATTTTTACTGTTCTTTCTGCCTGGAAACTGAGAAACGTCCATGGCGTCCAAAAAGCGTTCCTTTAGGTCAAAATCGGTTTTAGACCGGCTAGAGAACAGCGATAGTAAATCAGAACCACTTGCAGAATTGAGTGATAATGATTCGTGGGGAAATTCATCATCAGACACTGAAAACGATTTTGCGACTTTGCTCAGTGATGTGCAAACTTGGCGCTATATTTCAAATTTCAGTGTTTTTGGTTTGATTATATTATTGAATTAAATGTATTATTATTATATTATTATTTTTTTATGATTATTTATTAAATTATAATTTATGATTTTGTGTTTAAAATTTTATCATACCCAGGATGTTTACTAGACTCTTGTTCGGACAGATTTCAGTGAGTTATTCCTAAAAATTACAGGCCTACAATGAAAAAAATACATATTTCCATGCAAAAAAATGTACCGCTTTGAGCACAGAAAAATGGACATAATCAGACCGCTAGGGAGGTTAATCAATCTCTAGGTGTATGGACACCTTCTGAGTCAGATGTTCTCGTCACATTGGTGTACGGTCAATCCTCCCTCTCTATCACTATACCTCCCAACTGTCCTTAAACCCCCAACTCACTGGAACAAAACTCTCAATCAACGTTTTTAATCCTTATTCTACTAGCCTTAGTAAAACGACAGGAAGGTATATTATATTTTCATGCTTTAAACTTTTTTTTTTTTTTTTACATTTCTGCAGTTTCTGGCCTACATAAAATGATGTCATACATCCCACGAGTCTCCAAGGGCTAAGGGCAGATTGATTCCAGGAAGAATCATCTGCCCTTACTCAAGATGGCCAGAACTACTAGGTGATGTTTTTTAAAATGATTTCTCAATAAAATAAAGCAAGGAGGCATGGATGGGGGGTTTGCTTTGAATATTCAAAATTAGTTAAACAGCGTTTTCAGTTTGTAATGCTCAGATGCAGTTTAGTTCCACTTTGAACATCCGACACTCAGATTTCCATGTTATTCCAAAGTACATGTTCACATCGGAGTGCTAATGCTCAGAAAATGTACTGGAGCTTTGTTGGCCCCAATAAACTTTAATGGCAGCGCCTGAGAAAGGAGCAATTTCATGACTAACAATTGTCTCCTCCAGCTAGTAAATGGCATTTCATTGGCTAAATCAAAAATCCTCATGCCTGAAAACTTGTATAAATGCTCAAAAAAGAAACAACAGACACCAACACTCAAGGGTGAATGTAGCCTCATAATGAACCCTGGTTCACACTGATGCGGTGTGGAATTTGCAGCGTTTTCTGTGCAAATTCCACACCGCATCAGAATCACAAAACGCGGTGCGATGTGCAGAATCAGATGGCATAGGTATAAATACCACAAAAAAGGGTCCTGCACGTTTTTTGGTGCGATGCGATTAGAGCCATACAATATGTATGGCTCCAATCGCACAGCACACAAATCGCATGTGATTTGCACAGGAATGCAGTGCGGTTCCTGTGCGAATCACATGTGATATACCGCACCGCATATATGTGAGCCCAGGCTGAATCAAATGTCCCTTTCTCAGCTGTCCTTCTTTTCGGTCTGATATATAACCTATAGACACATTTTCATCTAACTACCAGAAGTTAAGTGGTCTCCGGGAGTGTCTGTGCTAAGGTTGTCATTCATATAGATATGACCAGACAGACCAGTTTTTTTTCATCCCCATTGTCCGGTGTTTATAAATGCTATGTACAGCCTCTGCTTTGGGCCTTCTACAGAAACTGGACCTCCCTCTCATTCCACTCTTGCTCTGATGTTGAAATTACAGGTTGTCCTCTGGCAGCCTCAATACTCATGTTTGCATCTCCATGGACCATAAGGTGACAACTCTAGTCTGTGCATTCCTTCTGTGGTCATCCACATTACCTGTTTTGGGCAAATGGTGGTAGTTCGTTACATTCAGCTGGACTTGTCCCATAGCGATCTATTTACTAAAAGGAGTGTGCAGAATCTGGTGCAGCTCTGCATGGTAGTCAATCGGCTTCTAATTTCAGCTTGTTCAATTAGGCTTTGACAAAAAAAAAACAATAGAAGCTGATTGGTTTCTTTGCAGAGCTGCGCCGGATTTTGCACTCTCCAGTTTTAGTAAATCAACCCCATTAGGCACCTTTCGCACTTGCGGACTGATTTTATCCACCTGTCCATTTTTCAAGCGAAGCCAATCGGACTCTCCATGTCTCATCTATGTCCGTTTACACTAACCTACATCTGATCCTATCTGCTAAAAACAGCTGATCGGATAATATTCGGGTGTAAACGGACAGAATGTGTAAACGGACAGTTACATCTGACTGCTCATAGAGGAAAGCGGGCTGTGTACTCAGACCTGTCATCCGCCTGCTCAGCAAGGGTCATAAGACATATACCCCACTGAGCAGGCGGATCCACTGGTGGAGTTTGCCTCATGTGAAAGGGGCCTAATGCTGAAGACAATTCACACATTATTCAAGAGACTTCTTCAGAAATGAGGAGGTCCCCATGGATAAGTGGTTAAACATCTCTCACATTACAAGTCCTGCTGAATGCGACGGACTGCTTTCAGGTATACCTTGACCTGATAAATGAAACTTTATAGACCTATGCAGATATGGAAGACCTCAATGTTTTGGTTCTGAAAGGAAAATTCAAATCTATCCAGGAAAGAAAAACATTTGAACTAAGAATGATAATTCTATTTGACACAAAAGATAACGGCCTTAACTTGGACATGGGATTCCTCAACCATGACTATCTATTAGCTGAAGCCCGCATGACACCCTCTGCGTGAGTGTAGTATCCCCCCCCTCCCCCCCTCGCTCTTGATGTATCTTATCTGTAGCCCTTTTTTTTTTTTCTCAATCCCTTCTAACATTCTGCTTAAACTTTGTGATTTGTAATAGTACTGTTTGGACTTTGAAGAAGGGGACATTCCCCGAAAGCTTGTCCGCAAAATTGTATGTTAATGCAAATAAAAAAAGTATCACGGACAGTACTCAATTGTTTCTGTAGACCTATGCAGGAAACGTTCCTGTTGATGTATAAAGCTGTATGAGAAGTCTGAGGTTGTCAAAATTTGCATTAACTTCCAAACCTCTGAGGTATGTATGTTTGTTTAAAGTGGTTTTAAAGCCAAAAGCAAACAATCATATTGCAGTCTACCAATTCTTAGATGTAATGACTGCATTCATTTTCTTTTTTAGGCTTTTTTTCTTCTATTTTCATCTGGTGATCCAACCAACAAGTCTGTTGTTTTTGAAAGGCACAAGCTCTCCAGCGGAATGTATCAGTTTACATGGATGAGACAAACCATTTAACGCTGACAGGCGTGCTTAAAAACGATCAGCTACCACCCCCTCCCCCTCAGTCTGATACTGCTGTCTGATGTGCCTCCTATGCTAATTAATTCAGTGTGGTGGTCTCACTAATATTCGAGGTGTGTTACAGGGCAGATCATCAGGTGTAAACGGGGGAATAGCCAAAGAGAAGAAAACTGATGCAGCTACCTCATCTAATGATTGGTAAGCTGCAATATATTATAGTTTTTGTTTTGAGTTTAATACTACTTTATGGCTCTGTTCACACTTGTGCGACTTTGAACTGTGACTTTGATACGACTTTACACCCTCTGACACCCAAGTCACATCAAAGCCACATCAAAGTAGTGCAGAAACCTTTTCAAAGTCTCTGCAACTTTAAAGTGGTTCTAAAGCCTTAGCCTGGGTTCACACTGATACAGTCTGGAATTCATAACATTTTTCTGTGCGAATTCCGCACCGCATCAGAATCGTATCCTGTTCATGCCAGCCACTGCGGGTGTGTATGTTAAGTTAACACCCCGAAACACGGTGCGATGTGCAGAATCGGATCGCATTGGTGTGAATCCCCATGCGATCCGATTCTAGTGCAGACCAAAAAAAGGGTCCTGCACCTTTTTTGGTGCGGATGTGTTGCGATTTGAGCCATACATAATGTATGGCTCAAATCACACCGCACACAATTTGCATGTGATTTGCACATGAATGCGGTGCGATTCCTGTGCAAATCACATGTGATGTACTGCAGCGCATGAGTGTGAACCTAGTCTTAAAGTGGAGCTCTAGTCAAAATGTGACCAAAAAGGGCAGCTTGGGAGCGAGCCCACACAGATGCCCCCATGGAAAGCGGGTTTCCATGAAAGGCACCCTCCAAAGAGGAGGGGTCAGGAGCGCCAGCGGGGGATCCCAGAAGAAGAGGAGCGGGGCTGCTCTGTGTAAAACCATTGCACAGAGCAGCAGGTAAGTATAACATGTTTGGTATTTGAATTTTTTAAAAACTAAGCTTAAATGTCGCTTTAAGTTCATAGATCTGAACAGGTGCCACTGAAAACAATGGGCTACTACTTGTCATGCAACTTTATGTCTCCAAAGTCTCATGACAAGTCACACATGTGTAAATGTAGCCTTAATGGGTCAAAGCATATTAGTTATTTTGGCACACTTGTTGAAAAGTGGTCTGCAGTTGATTGTAAAGAACTGATGATGACTGATCCACCCATTTTTGTATCAGTGTCACTGAGACAGGAAATGCGAGAAAAGACACTTCACACTCTAACTAACAGCTTTTCAGCAATTAGCTAGTATTAGGCTTTAAAGGAGAACAAAACGTGAAATGTTAGCAGGTAGAGTTTTCAATGTCAAAAAAGACTTCTTTCCCTTCATGCAATTGATTTTTTAACTGCATGCAGTGAAGCATACATAGTGCCATGTATACTTAATATTGGATTAATGATTGTCACTTTTTTTTGCATACTAGGCTCATATTGATAAGGAAAATGTTACTAAATTTACAAAAATCCTCATAGGACAGAATAAAAAAGTGACCACAAACCAGCTTATTCACTCCTTGGTTATTTACCGCCTTGACTACTGCAACTCCCTCCTCACTAGCCTACCCTTACACAGGCTCTCCCCCCCT